TGAAGCCTCATACAGAGAAGGATACACAAACTGTTGTATATCCATACTATGCAATACTTGTAGAGTTAAAGATTAGTAAACCTGTCTGAGGATGTAGCTCAATGGAAGAATGATTTCCTAGCATGCACAAGGCCTTAAACTAGGTTCCCAGTATGGAAAAAGTAAATGAAGAAAACAAAACAAAATTATATGTATTACTGTATCTTAAAAGGAAAACAAAAACCAGTTATATAAAAAGTTAAAACATAACAAATCATTGTGTATTTGTTACTTTTTTGTTGCTGTGATAAAACACCATGACCAAAAGCAACTTATAAATGAAAGTGTTTATTTTGGCTTATGGTTCCAGAAGGAGAGTCCAGAGTGGCTGGGGAGGCATGGCAGCAGGCTGCTAGAGCAAGAAGCTGAGAGGTCACATCTGCATCCACAGGCAGGCAGCAGAGAGTGGGGCAAGGCTATAAACTCAAACCCACCCTCAGTGATGTGCTTTCTTTAGCAAGATTTCACAACCTAAAAGTTTCATAACCTCCCCACACAGCATCACCAACTAGGGACCAAGTATAGAAGCACATAGGCCAATGGGGGACATTTTTTATTTAAACCAATACAATATTGTTGATCTATGCATATGTAACAAAAGCACAAAAATACCTAAAATTAGTGGTCACCTGAGGACAAGGAAGAAGAAATAACTGGGGCTTCACTTGAGCTTAAGTGAAGGGATGGGTGCTCGGTTCTCACTCTTTATACCTTTTGGTATGCCTGAAACATTTCATAATTTTTTTCTTTTATGATTATGTCTACAACCTGAGGTGAGAAGAAAGATCAACTCCTAGTATTGATAGGAATTCTCTTTTTTTGAATGAGGAAGGAGAAAGTTTATTAAAAAAAGAAAAAGAAAAAAAAATGGAGGGATGTGATAGAAGTGCTTGGGGAAAATGTCAGTCAACTCCAAACACTGGGTGATCTTGTACAAAGCCACACAGAGTCCAATGTTTGGGAAGCCTCTCTCTTACCACAAAGTTAGGTTATCAGCTTCACTTCAGACATTCACAAGGCAGAATTAGGTTTCTCAACCCAATCTCTGCAGTTTTTTCAGGGGGGAGGGGAATCTATTAATTTTTATTTTGTGTGTATGAATGTTTTGTCTATGTGTATGTATTTAAGTGTACCGATGTCATGCAATGCCTGTTGACACCAGAAGAGGGGTGTCAGATTCCCTGGAACTGGAGTTAAGGATGGTTGCTAGCTGCCCTGTGGGGAGAACCTGATGGAAGAGCAGCCAGTGCTCTTCACCATTGAGCCATCTCTCCAGTCCCTCTGCAGTTATTTTTTATCAGCATATGTATTAGTTACTTTTTGTTGCTGTCATAAGACGCCATGTTCATTAGTAACCTACGGAAGAAAGAGTTTATTTTGGCTTACAGTTCCAGTGGAGTCCATAGTGACCCAGGAGGCACAGCAGCTGGCATGGTAGCAGGAGCAGGAAGTTGAAAGGTCACACCGCAACCACACATAGGGAGCAGAGAGTGAACTGAAAGTGGGGCAAAGCTAGAAATTCTCAAAGTCTGCCACCAGCAACATAATTCCACTTGTAACAAGGCTCCAGCTCCTAAAGGTTCCATAACCTCCCCAAACAGCACCACCAACTGGGAGCCAAGTGTTTATTCAAATGCATGAGCCTATGAGAGCATTACTCATTCAAACCACGACAGCCTGTATTCATTATACATAGTGACAGGTTTCATGAAGACATTCTCATACAAGTATATCATGTACCTTGACCATATCTACCCCTCCTTCCCTCCCCTTTCCATTATTCACATTCATTCCCCCAGATCTCACTTCTACTTTTGTGTTCTATATACAGATATGATTTTATGTAACTATATAAAATCAATCCACAAATGAGAGAAAACGTGATATTTATCTTCCTAGGTCTGATTTATTTCACTTAGTATGATTTCCAGTTGCATCTATTTTCATGAAAATGACATAGTTTTACTCTTTATGTCTTTACGGCTGAATAAAACTCCACACAAACACACACACACACACACACACACACACACACACACATTTTCTTTGTCCATTCATTTGTCAACAGCTGGGCTGATTTGGCTATTGTACCTTTGCAGTTACTTCAAAATTTATTATGCCTGAGTCCATGCCTGTTGGAATGCTGTTCGTTGTAGTTGCTCTGTGTTGCTGTGATAAAAGACTGAGCACAATAACTTGGGGAGGAAAGGGCTTATTGTATCTTACACTCT